TATGTCACTGCCAAAACATTTGGCCATGACTGTACATACAGTGCACATTTAAGATGTCATCAAAAATTCATTATATTTCAGGGCCCGTATTCACAAAACATCTTAAGGCTAAAAGTAGCTCATAACTCACCGATTTAGGACTCCTATATCTATGAAACGTTAGGAGTAGTGAAGAGGACTCCTAAGTCACTAAGACCAAATCTGAACTATCCTAAAATGGCTGTTGCCAGCAATCTACCTCAGAATATAAACATTTGATGATAATGAGCTTTTAGAAAGGTATCGGCTTTGGTTTGGAGGTTATCCCAACTCCAAATTTTTGATTATATCCTTAATATAGTTAGTTAAAACCATTAGTTTGGTTTTCTTTTATGTTTGCATGTCTTACTATCAGCAATGAGATTATTCTACTCTGCTAATTAAAAGGCTGTTTATATGCATATTACCAAAATTTTATTAGTCGCAGAAAAAAAAAAATCCATATGAAGTGGCGAAATCACGCAGTCCGTGACGGACAAGTCGTTAACGGCTGGTCTATGTGAACTATATCATCGAGCAGGACATCCATATGCTCTCCTAAGTCCTAACATTCATCGACCTCAAATATTATCATCTGAAAAATGTATGTAGTAGCAACTTTACATGGCAGCTCAATCTAATGTTTTGTCACGTGTTTGTGCGGAGTGTGGAAGCTGAACAGTAGCGCGCTTGGGCTACTGCATGACAGATGGAGGCGCCGGTGCGATCATTTGCTCTTAAAATACTTCGTAATATTTGGTCATACAGATAAGAGCAATGCATCCTTTGTATCTGTAAAGATTATGTTTATTCGTGTGCACTCAGAATAACAACGAAACGTTGCACTTTTGTAAAATAATCTTTGCGTGCGCTTGAGCGCTTATTAGGCAATTAAGGCTCATTATTATGATTTATATGGTTTATTAATAAAAGTGCGAGTAATGGTCGACTAATGCTTAAAATGAATGACTACTAGTCGACCAGAAAAATCTTTAGTCGAGGGCAGCCCAAATGC